CTCTCTCAAATCAATTTAAAAAGAGAGATAACATGGGACTAAAATTTTCCAGCTCTGAGCTTTCAAAAGCTGCAAGTTGTTTCTTTGACTTTGAATAGCTCCCAGTTCCAAGAAAAGCCATTCAAAGATACTGTGGAATATTTTCTATTAACACTACCAACTATTTAAAGTCTGATAAGCACAACTTCCAAGGTTAGCTGTCCTCGGCCAGTGATCCCCCAAACTGGCTGCCACCAAGCCCCCAGGGTTCATTAACCATGTCAACACCAGAGACCCAAAAGGTCCAGAGAGGGGCTTCGGGCTGCTGTGCATTCAACAAGCTCCCCAGCTGACAATGCTGGGCCAGGTTTTGAGAACCACCGATTTCAAAGATACAAAAAGCAGTGCCAATGCTAAGAGTAAACTAAAATGTATTTGATTTGCGATTTTTTTTTTTCAATCTTCACCCCTTTAGTGCATCCCAGAATCATTACGGAGGCCGCCGAGAAAAGAACAGCAGCTGTTCAAGGCGTCCACCTGCTTCCGAGTCCGGCCAGCACGGCGTCCCGCGGGCCGGGCACCCGCGGAGGTGTGGCAGGGGCACTCAGGCTCGCCGGGCTCTCGGCCCAGGTCCCTCACCCAGCCTACCTGGTAGATGGCAGAGCCCGAGTCGGGCTGGGTGCCCAGCGTGGCCACCGCGTCCCCGTGATAGGCGCGCCGTCCGGGGGCAGCAGCGCGGGCGCAGCGCCACAGCGCTAACCTAGCGGTGGCCCACATGGCAGCGGACCCCGAGCGAGGGGGGAGTACAGAGATGCCGACCGAGCCGGTGCGCCTTCCGCTCGCTTCCCCGCTAAGGACGAAGGCTCAGCTCCGGTCCTGGCAGCTTCCACCAGCCTGCTACACCCCCGATTCTCAGGCCGGCCCTCGCACTGGCCTACACACGCCTCCTGATTGGTAGGCACTACGTGCCACGCCCCCAGCCTCAGCCAATAAGACAGAGGATCAGCCCCGCGAGACCCTGTCGTATCGCGAGCCCAGGAGCCCCGGGAGTCCAAGGGCGGAGCGAGTCTTGGTGGCCGTCCAGCCTCCTCCAGCGGAGCTGGTGAACTGCCATTGAATTTCCTTGTGCTCGGTTTCAGTTTATTTTCTATTGTGCTTTCTTCTTCCTCTGCTAATGAACGACGATTCCAAGACTTGAAAAAGCTTATTCTTATGTGAGAGCTGGAGACTGGGCAGGCATTAAGCTGCTCTAAGAAAACTTTAGAGGAGATATTTATTCAAAAAAAGTTTCTTCAGTGTCTTCTGTGCCAGGTGCTCTCCTGGCACTGGGGATACAGTGGAGAACAAAGTGTCTTCTTTTATAAAGCGGAAATATAAACAAGCAAAAATAGAAATTTGAATAGTGATAAATTGCATTTTAGATGTACAAGTGCGTCTTCTAAATGCACTTCTTTAATGCATTTGAAAACTTTATATAGAATAATCATGTTTAGAAAAGTGTAATACCAGAACATCTTGTGTAAAATCTTATAGCACTACTTAACTTTTTAAGCCATGTGTATTACTTTTTAAAACAACAAACAAACATGCAACAATGCATATTAAAAGGTTAGTACAGTACCTAGCATAATTGGTAAGTTCTTATTTTGAAAAGTGACAGGTTTTTAAAAATCTGGGCAGGGGGGAATAAAGGTAAAAAAAAGTCAGAGTGAGTTTAATATACAAAATGTGTGCTATGAAGTACTGTCCCTTGCTACACGTTGGCCCCAAATTTAGCTTTGCATTGCGAAAGTAAACAACACAAGGATTCACACAGCCCATATAAAATAAATAAATAAATAAAAAACTAAAAAAACAAAAAAAACCACAACAGAACAATTCAACAGAAGCCCAATTATTCCTAGCACTGAGGCCAAAGAGAAGTATCTACTATAGATTCCTAGGTAGAATATTGGATGATAAAGTCTACAACTTCATTGTAGCAAAATTCATTTCTTCAAGCTTTTAAACTCTTTCACATAATGTCCCTAAACATGAGTAGACAAAACAATGTAGTCCATATTCATAGCTTTTTTTTTTAATTGAATTTTCAGAGAAAGTGGGAGAAACATTGATAGGCTGCTTCCTGCACGCCCCCTACCGGGCATGTCTTTTTTGTTTGTTTGTTTTAATTTTATGAAATCTTTATTGTTCAGATTATTACATTTGTTCCTCTTTTTTTCCCCCGTAGCTCCCCTCCACCCAGTTCCCACCCAACCCTCTGCCCTTACTCCCGCACTGTCCTCCTCCCTAGGTGCACAATTTTTGTCCAGTCTCTTCCCACCCCCCGACAA